TAGTTTGTTGTGGGTACAGTTGAGTCTCAGAAAGTTATAGGCCAAAAATTGAGTTTTTGGGGGTCAAAATTGGTCGGTTTTTTAGGTATAACTTTTTTTAAAAATTTTTTAAAAATAAACGGACTTCGGATTCGGATTCAGCACCCATTGGAGTACCATAAACCATGTTTTTCTCGATATCGAAATTTTGACCCCTTTTTGAAGGGGTACCCCTATTGAAATTTTTTGGTGAAAATTAAATTGGGCATAACTTTGTAAGTTTTGGTCGCAGCCAAACGATTTAATGCTTATAAAATAGAGAAAAAAATTACAAATTTTTTGAGCTATTAATATTTTAGAAAAATTCCACCCGAGGCCTGGTAGGCTCGATTTTTTGAAAATTAAAAAAATTTCGGTTTTTTGAAATTTTGTGGGGTATATCGAGGCCGAGGGTGGTTGCAACTATTTTATAAAATAGAGTAGAATTTTTACTATTAATAAGTTTTTAAAATGTTCCAAAAGGATCAATTTTTGAAAAGTTATGATTTTTTAAAAAAATACGTAAATTTTTAGGTTTAAATTTTCGGCCAAAAAAGTTTTTTCCCAATATGGGTATAAATGGGTCAAATGTTATATCAATCGAAAGCTCTCATCGAGCTAAACTTAAAAATATTTTTTCTTACATTTTCTGACCATTTTTTACAAAGTTACAAAAGGTCAAAATTTCGGGTGTGGGGGGTTTGGGGGCCGAAGGCCCCCAAACGGCGGGCCGGAGGCCTGCCGTGCGAGGGCCGAAGGCCCGAGCTTCAACCCATCCCGGAATGCAAGGCTGAACTTTACCAGCGAGGGCCGAAGGCCCGAGCTTTCAACCCATCCCGGAAGGCAGGGCTAAACTTTACCAGCGAGGGCCGAAGGCCCGAGCTTAAGACCCATTTCAAAACGAATTGCGAGGGCCGAAGGCCCGAGCTTAAGACCCATCCCGAAACGAATCGCGAGGGCCGAAGGCCCGAGCTTAAGACGATTCGGGCCGAAGGCCCGAAGGCCCCCAAACTTAAGACCAAAAAGGTCTTAAGCTCGGGCCGAAGGCCCGAGCTTAAGACCTTTTTTAAGACGAATTGCGAGGGCCGAAGGCCCGAGCTTAAGACCCATTTCAAAACTAATTGCGAGGGCCGAAGGCCCGAGCTTAAGACCCATCCCGAAACGAATTGCGAGGGCCGAAGGCCCGAGCTTAAGATCCATTTTAAGACGAATTGCGAGGGCCGAAGGCCCGAGTTTAAGACCCATCCAAGAACAATCGCGAGGGCCGAAGGCCCGAGCTGAAGATCCATCCCAAAATGGATCGCGAGGGCCGAAGGCCCGAAGCGATGAAAAGGCAAGGCTAAACTTTACCGGCGAGGGCCGAAGGCCCGGAGCAATGAAAAAGCAGAGCAAATGTTACCGTTTCTAGCAGCGCGCGAAGCGCGCCCCAAAGCCGTTAGGCTTTCCAACGGGCAGAGCCAAATTCAAACCCAGAGCAAAATTAAACTGCCAGAGTATGCTATTCGCGCCATCGCATACGTAACCCACAGCTAGTTACTATATACCTATAATTCAGGGAGTGTTTTTTCTAAGAAAAAAAATAACGGCCGGCCGAAGGCCGGCACGGTTTTGGGAGTTTGACATTCGGGGGGTAGTTTGGGACGGGGCATCCAGGAAAATTATCGATTAGTCGAAATAATTGCCCCCTGGTACCTAAATCGCTTAAGTGCCGGGGCTATCTTTTTAATGGCTGGAGATAGCGGAAAACGTCTGCTGGGAGGCACGTGCCCCACTATTAGGGGATGTCAATGGAAAAAAACTCGAATTCGAAATTCGGACCTGAAGGGTACTTATGCCTTCCCAAATGATTATGCCCCCAGGCTGAAAAATTCTAACCCTTTAACGAATTGAGTTAGGGGTCTGAAACTTTTGCATTTAAGGGTTCTATTTGATGGGGCATTTGGGAAAAATACGAAAGTTAAGAAATAATTACCCACTGGTACCTATATAGAATAGGTACCGGGGGTATCTCGGGACTGGGGGGAGATATCAAAAAACTTCCAACGGGAGGCACGCAAGTTGGAATAAGCTGATATATGTAGGAAAAAACCCGAAGTCTAAATCCCAACTTGAAGGGTACTTATGCCTGCGCAAAAATCCCAAAATCCCCGTTTCGCAAATTTCGAAATTTACGAAACTTATCGACAAATCACGTGTGATATATCAAATGAAAGCTCTCGACGAGCTGAGTCTGGATAAATTTATTTTAAATTTTTTGGACCACTTTGGACCAAGTTACAGTAGCCCAAAGTTTCACAATGACCCCATGTAAAATTGGGAAGGGTGGCTCCAATTGTCAAAAGTGAATTGAAACCCGTTTTCGATATCCTATCTTAAAGAGCGTCCCCTGGCGGTTCGAAAAAGGTATAATATGTCGGGGGTCCGGTTGAGTCTCAAAAAGTTATAGGCAATGTTCGCAAATGTCGCGAAACTTTTTTTGACTCTAACTTTGTCGAAAATTTTTTTAGAATTTTTCTGACGCCGGATTCGTACTCAGCGGGTGTCAGAGTACCATATAGGCCGTTTTATAAGTCAAAATTCCAAAATTTTGTCCCACCCCCTATTTCCGAAGGGGTACCCCTTTTGGGGGATTTTTGGGATTTTTAAAATCGCCATAACTTTTTATGGGATTATCGGATTGGGTTGTGGTTTGCTTTATAAAATATAGTCAAAAATTAGAAATTTTTTGAGCGCAAAAAATTTCGAAAAAATCCGAAAATGGAGGTGTAGGGGTAGAATTTCGAAAAACCCAAAATTTTTCGGTTTTTCGAAATTTTTTCGGGATTTTTGCCTACTGATGGTTCTAATGTATTTTTCTTGAATTAAGCAGATTTATCTACATATTTTGGGATTTTAAAATTTTCAAAAAAGGTATACCTTGGCCGAGATATGATTTTTTGAAAATTTTAGCGATTTTTTCTGGCTGAAATTTCAGGCCCAAAAAATATTTTTTCAAAATCCAATATAGATATGGCAAATGAGGTATCATTCGAAAGCTCTCATCGAGCTGGATATAAAAATATTTTTTTCGAATTTTTTCGGTACTTATTGACGAATGTACGGAGGTTCTAAAATTTGGGGGATGGAGTACAGTATCCGGAGAATTATGGTAGGAAGAGAGAAAAAATGATTGACAGTTGAAATGATGGCAGAGAGGCGAAATTTTTCTGCGTCTCTGACATTCGGGGCAACCCGTAGAAGAAATTAAAGGGAAATTTTGTATATGGGGGAAAATTTTGTGGGAGGGTAAGCTGGATCCTGTTGTGGATCCGAAGCAGAGATGCTTCGTGAAGCAGTTATGCTTCGAAATTTTGTTTTGGATTGGACTCATCCTTCTAATTGAAAGGATGAGTCCAATCATCCTTCTAATTGAAAGGATGAGTACAATCATCCTTCTAATTGAAAGGATGAGTCCAATCATCCTTCTAATTGAAAGGATGAGTCCAATCGAGGGGCCGAAGGCCCGGAGTGACTCTAAGTGGAAGGATGAGTCCAATCGAGGGATGAAGGATGAGTCTAAGATGAAGGATGAGTCCAATCGAGGGGAAGACGAGGGCCGAAGGCCCGAAGTGACTCTAAGAAGGCAAGCTAATATATGTAGGAAAAAATTCAAAGTCGAAATTCGAATTTGGAGGGTAGTTATGCTTGACACAAAATTCAGACATTTCCGGTGAATTGTCGCATGTGTCGGTATTTAAAATTCGAGTTTTTCGAAAATAACTCGAAAACGGATAAAGCTAGCGGAAAATTTCTGCTGGTAGGAAATTAAGTTAGAACAGGTAGATATAGGTAGGAAAAATTTCAAATTCGAAATTCGAACTTTAGGGGTACTTATAGGGGGGCAAAAATTTTTGTAAGAAAATTGTCTTACCGATAACTGTCGGATTTCTCTAAATTGAGGAAAGCCAGGGGGCAAATCTCATAGTTGAGAGAGAAATTTTGATTGATGGGAAGAAATTTCGAGTTTAAATTTTTGGATTTCGAAACTTAAGCAAGTTTCGAGTTGAGTGAAGGTTAGTTGGGGGGAATTATATGGGGATTTCGAAATTAGGGATCCGGGATTTCGGGATTTTTAGGGATTTTCGAATATGGTCGAATGAGTAGTCATTCGAAAGCGAATAATGAGGGGAGTTGAATGGGATATATGATAAGTATAAAAGTCAAAGTTGGAGTTCGAACTTCGAAATCCGGGTTTTTCGGATATGGGTGAGTGGGTAGTCAATCGAGAGCTGGGAGTGAGGGGAGTCTAAAGGGATAAAGGATAAGGATTAAAGTCCAATTTCGAAGTCGAACTTCGAAATCCGGGATTTTCGGGATTTGTGGATGTGGATGAGTGGGTAGTCATTCAAGAGGGGATAATTAGGGGAGTCTAATGGGATAAGGGATAAGTATGAAAGTCAAAGTTAGGAGTTCGAACTTCGAAATCCGGTATTTTCGGGATTGGGAAGCATGGTCGAATGAGTATTCATTCAAGAGGGGATAATGAGGGGAGTCTAATGGGATAAGGGATAATGTCGAAATTCGAAGTTCGGTGTTCGAACTTCGAAATCCGGGATTTTCGGGGTTTGGGGATATTCGCAAGTGTGTAGTCATTCAAGAGGGGATTATCAGGGGAGTCTATCTGGATAAAAGATAAAGTCTAAATTCGAAGTTTCGCGTTCGAACTTCGAAATCCCGGATTTACGAGGTTGGGGGATATGGGTGAGTGGGTAGTCATTCAAGAGCTGGGACTGAGGGGAGTCTAATGGGATAAGGGATTAAGCCTAAAGTCGAAGTTCGGAGTTCGAACTTCGAAATCCGGTATTTTCGGGATTGGGAAGTGGGGTCGAATGAGTACTCATTCAAGAGGGGATAATGAGGGGAACTTAGTGGGATAAAGGATCAAGCTGAAAGTCGAAGTTCGGAGCGAAAACTGAATTGAAACTCGATTTCAATATCCTATGTTATAGAGCGTCCCCTGACGGTCCGAAAAAGGTATAATATGTCGGGGGTCCGTTTGAGTCTGAAAAAGTTATGGCCAATGTTCGCAAATGTCGCGAAATTTTTTGGACTATAACTTTTTTTAAAATTTTTTAAAAATTTTTCTGTCAACGGATATGGATTCAGCGCGTATCAATGCACCATATAGGATATTTTTGGGTCAAAATTTGAAAATTTTTGACCCCTCGAATTTTTCAAAAGGGGTACCCCTTTTGGGGGATATGAGGGATTTTTTAGGGGATCATAACTTTTTGTGGGATTATCGGAATGTGATGGGGTTTGCTTTATAAAATAGAGTAAAAAATTAGAAATTTTTTGAGCCTAAAAAATTTCGAAAAAATTCGAAATTGGAAGTGTAGGGGTCTAATTTCGAAAAACCCCAAATTTTTTGATTTTTCGAAATTTTTTCGGGATTTTTGCCGGCAGTTCTGGCCGACAGTATTTTTCTTGGATAGAGCAGAATTTTCTGCATCTTATAGAATTTTAAAATTTTTAAAAAAGGTTTACTTTGGGCGAGATATGATTTTTTAAAAATTTCAGTGATTTTTTTCGGCTGAAATTCTCGGCCGAAAAAAATATTTTTTCAAAGTGGGTATAAATAGGGCAAATGAGATATCTATCGAAAGCTCTCATCGAGCTGGATATAAAAATATTTTTTTCGAACTTTTTCGGTACATTTTGACGAATGTACAGAGCTTCGAAAATTTGTGGGGCTGAGTACAGTACCCGGAGAATGATGGGAGAGAGGGAAGAAAAATGATTGACAGGTCAAATGTAAGGAAGAGAGGAGAAATTTTTCTCCGTCTCTGACCATGCCGGGCAAACCGGCGAAGAACTTAGGGGTGAATTTTGTATATTGGGAAAAATTTTGTGGGGTGATAAGCTGGATCCTGTTATGGATCCGAAGCAGAAGCATGCTTCTGCTTCACATTTTTGCTTCAGTTTCGAATTTTTGAAACTTGAAGCAAATTTGCTTCGAGTTTTGAATTTTCGAAACTTGAAGCAAATTTGCTTCAAGTTTTCCAAATTTTTGATTTCGAAGCAGTTTTGCTTCAACTTTTATAAAATTTTGTTTTTAGTGGACCAAAGTGGAAGGATGAGTCCGAATGAAAGAAACACGAGGGCCGAAGGCCCGAAGTGACTCTAAGTGGAAGGATGAGTCCGAATTGACTCTAAGTGAAAGGATGAGTCCGAATAAAGGAAAGACAAGGGTCTATGTGGAAGGATGAGTCCGAAGTGACTCTAAGTGAAAGGATGAGTCCGAATAAAAGAAAGACAAGGGTCTATGTGGAAAGATGAGCCGAAGTGACTCTAAGTGAAAGGATGAGTCCGAATAAAGCGAGCTGACACACATCTAAATGGAATGGCGAGTGCCGAAGGCCCGAGCTGACACCCATCTAAAAGGAAGGGAGAGGGCGAGGGCCGAAGGCCCGAGCTGACACCCATCTAAAAGGGAGGGCGAGGGCCGAAGGCCCGAGCTGACACACATCTAAATGGAATGGCGAGTGCCTAAGGCCCGAGCTGACACCCATCTAAAAAAGAGGGTGAGGGCCGAAGGCCCGTAGCAATGAAAAGGCAGAGGTAATCACACATATTCCTCGCATTCAAAAATTCTAGCAGCGCGCGAAGCGCGCCCCAAAGCCGATAGGCTTTCCAACGGGCAGAGCCAAATTTAAACCCAAAGCAAAATTTTACCGCCAGAGTATGCTATTCGCGCCATCGCATACGTAACCCACAGCTAGTTACATTATACCTATAATAAATAGAAAATTTTTTTAGAAAAAAAAATATCGGCCGGCCGAAGGCCGGCCGCTTCCTGAGAGTGTGACATCTTGGGGGGTACTTTTAATGGGCTTTTCAGGAAAAATACCGGTGGGACCATACGATGAACTTTTGGCACTGAAACGGCCGTGGCGAAGTGGCCAAATCCTGAACCGTCCGTCGGATCGAAAAACGCTTGCTGGGAGGAAACTAAGTTGGACCAAGGGTAATCCAACAAAAAAAAAATTTTGAAAATCGGTTGAACCCCCGGGGACTTATGGGTGCGCAAAAATTTTTGGGACGAAATGGGTTTTGGCAAAATGTCGCGCCGTAGGGGTAACTTTTTAACGGCTGGGCCGAATTGGCTGCAACTTGGGGGTCATATGTAAACGGCCAAGGGAAATTCAATGGGCATGGCCGTTTTGGTGCCGCACTTGAGTGTGGCACTGAAACGGCCAAAAGTCAAAAAAACACCGAGGCCGAAGGCGGGACAACCAACCACAGGTGTCGAATGCACCACAGCGGTCAAACCCAAAGTAAAAGTCAAACATTGGCGTTTGGGGGCCGAAGGCCCCCAAATGCCTCGTGACAACCCACCACAGTTGCCAAATGCACCACAGCCGTCAAACCCAAAGTAAAAGTCAAACATTGGCGTTTGGGGGCCGAAGGCCCCCAAACGCCTCGGGACAACCCACCACAGTTGCTGAATGCACCAAAACGGTCAAACCCGAAGCAAGAGTCTAACATTGGCGTTTGGGGGCCGAAGGCCCCCAAATGCCTCGTGACAACGCACCACAGTTGCCAAATGCACCACAGCGGTCAAACCCAAAGTAAAAGTCAAACATTGGCGTTTGGGGGCCGAAGGCCCCCAAATGCCTCGTGACAACCCACCGCAGTTGTCAAATGCACCACAGCGGTCAAACCCATCGCAAGAGTCTAACATTGGCGTTTGGGGGCCGAAGGCCCCCAAACGCCTCGGGACAACCCACAACAGTTGTCGAATGCACCACAGCGGTCAAACCCATCGCGGGCCGGAGGCCCGCCGTAGCGAGGGCCGAAGGCCCGAGCATTCATTACATCTAAAAGGCAAAACAATAGTCGAAGGCAGGGCACGGCGGGCCGGAGGCCCGCCGTAAGCGAGGGCCGAAGGCCCGAGCATTCATTACATCTAAAACGCTGAGCAATAGTTAAAGGCAGGGCACGGCGGGCCGGATGCACGCCGTAAGCGAGGGCCGAAGGCCCGAGCTTTCATTACATCTAAAACGCAGAGCAATAGTCAAAGGCAGAGCAAACTTTACCGGCGAGGGCCGAAGGCCCGAAGCAATGAAAAGGCAGGGCTAAACTTACCGGCGAGGGCCGAAGGCCCGAAGCAATGAAAAGGCATGGCTAAACCCTTCTTTTAGCCATCCACACATTCTAGCAGCGCGCGAAGCGCGCCCCAAAGCCGATAGGCTTTCCAACGGGCAGAGCCCAATTTAAACCCAAAGCAAAATTAAACCGCCAGAGTTTCCTAATGGGAATTGCATACGCACTACGCCGCCATCGCATACGTAACCTACAGCTAGTTACTATATACCTATAATTCAGGGAGTGTTTTTTCTAAGAAAAAAAATAACGGCCGGCCGAAGGCCGGCACGGTTATGGGAGTTTGACATTCGGGGGGTAGTTTGGGACGGGGCATCCAGGAAAATTATCGAGAAGTCAAAATAATTACCCCCTGGTACCTAAATCGCTTAAGCGCCGGGGCTATCTTTTTAACGGGGGGTTATAGCGGAAAACTTCTGCTGGGAGGCACGTGCCCTGATATTAGGGGATGTCAATGGAAAAAAACTCGAAGTCGAAATTCGGACCTGAAGGGTACTTATGCCTTCCCAAATGGTTATGCCCCCGGGGCTTCGAAGTCTAACTCATTTTAGAAAGTAGTTAGAGGTCTAAAACTTTTTGCATCTGGGGTTCTAATTGATGGGGCATTTGGGAAAAATACGGGAATTGTAAAATAATTGCCCCATGGTACCTATATTGAATAGGTACCGGGGGTATCTCGGGACCGGGTGGAGATATCGAAAAACTTCCAACGGGAGGCACGCACGTTGGAATGAGCTGATATAGACTGGAAAAAACCCGAAGCCGAAATCCCAATTCTAAGGGTAGATATGCCTTCCCAAAAATCCCAAAATCCCCGTTTCGCAAATTTCGAGATTTACGAAACTGATCGACAAATCACGTGTGATATGTCAAATGAAAGCTCTAAGTGAGCTGAGTCTGGATAAATTTATTTTAAATTTTTTGAACCACTTTGGACCAAGTTACAGTAGCCCAAAGTTTCAAAATATTTTTATGTAAAATCGGGAAGGGTGGCTCCAATTGTCAAAAGTGAATTGAAACCCGTTTTCGATATCCTATGTTATAGAGCGTCCCCTGACGGTCCGAAAAAGGTATAATATGTCGGGGGTCCGGTTGAGTCTGAAAAAGTTATGGGCAATGTTCGCAAATGTCGCGAATCTTTTTTTGACTCTAACGTCCAGGGGAAATTTTTTAAAATTTTTCTGACACCGGATTTGGACTCAGCGCATGTCAGAGTACCATATGGGACGTTTTATGGGTCAAAATCCGAAAATTTTGGTCCCTCGAATTTTTCTAAAGGGTACCCCTTTGGGGGGATTTTAGGGATTTTTAAATTTGAAATATCTTTTTTTGGGATTGTCAGATTGGGATGGGGTTTCCTTTATTAAATTAAATAAAAAATTAGAAATTTTTAGAGCCGAAAAAATTTATGAAAAATTTGAAATTGGAGGTGTAGGGGTCGAATTTCGAAAAACCCAAAAATTTTCGGTTTTTCGAAATTTTTTCGGGATTTTTGCCGGTGGTTCGGGCCGATTATATTTTTCCTGGATTAACCAGATTTTTCTACATATTATGAGATTTTAAAATTTTCAAAAAGGTATACTTTGGGCGAGATATGATTTTTTGATAATTTCAGGGATTTTTTCTGGCCTAAATTTCAGGCCAAAAAAATATTTTTTTCAAATTCAATATAGCTATGGCAAATGAGATATCATTCGAAAGCTCTCATCGAGCTGGATATAAAAATATTTTTTTCGAATTTTTTCGGTACATTTTGAAGAAAGTACAGTGGTTCAAAAATTTGTGGGGGGTGAGTACCGTACTCGGAAAATTATGGTAGGGAGAGAGGAAAAATGATTGACAGGTGAAGTTGATGGCAGAGAGGCGAAATTTTTCTCCGTCTCTGACCATGCGGGGCAACACGTAGAAGAGTTTAAAGGTGAATTTTGTATATGGGGGAAAATT